AATATATATATTTTTGATACTTGTCATAAAAATTGAATGCAAGAGTCCCTACATTAAATAATGCACGTGAAAGAATATAATGAAGCACATTTGTTTTATCCTTCTGGGCCTTTATTGACCTGCACAGTGGGGATCTGAGCTTGCCTGTCTGTTCAAGGTGGCTCTTGGTACTATAGCCTATGCAATGGGGCTCTGAGCTTGTTCAACCTTGTTCAAGGGAGTGCTTGGCTGAGTGACCTGTGCAATGGGGTTTCGAGCTTGGTTATCTGTTCAAGGTGGTATTTGACTGAGTGACCTGTGTAATGGAGTTTTAAAATCACATATCTGTCCAAGGAGGTATTTGGCTGAGTGACCTGTGCGATGAGGGTTCTGAGCTAGGTCATCTGTTCAAGGGGGTGCTTGGTTTAGTGACCTGTGGAACAGCATCTGGTTCTCCACCCTGATATTCACATCAAGGTATGACTTTTGTAGGCTTCATGTCTCAGTTTTTTGACAGATTGAATAAACTTCTATTTATAAGAGGCAACAAATCTGTGCAGGTCAGGAGGTGAAAAGGGAATAATGAAAAGATACCGATGGTGCTGTCACTGGGTTGTCAGTGTGTTGTGAAGCACAAACAGCAACAAATAGCAAAGTTTATAAAAAAAGCTCTCCTGACTAGGCATGTTAGAGCCCAGACTAGTGATGCCACTGTTGGTTGGAAGCCAGTTTTAAGCTGTAAACTATGACAGACACGTGGCACAAAAGCAGCATGGCCCATGTAAATTAAGTGAAACGTAATTATCAATGGATAATTGAGGTATACAAATTTTACAGTTATTATCTTAACCACAGTGTATTTCCCATATGCTCAGGTAATTATAATGCATGGTATCCATTTCTGCATCATGTAATCAGTTTTATGGCTCTTGATCTTGAATGAAAAAGAAAAAAAAAATAATTTGTGAGATTGTTTTCCACATCTTTCAAAATGTTATTGTCATTCTGAACTTATACTTATATCAAACATGAATAAGATATCCATTGCATACCCTGCTGTTATTTACATCTGTTGCATGAATGGCCACTCTTTGTAGAAAAAGAACCGAAGAAATAATTTGGCACTTTTCCATGCCACAAATTTTGTAGAACTGCTTTCCAAGAAAATGTAAAAAAAAAAAAAAAATACTGCAGAACAAAGCTTGCCCTAGGTAAATAAACAAAAAATGTCAACTTCCAGCACATTATTTACTATCAAAGGTACACATATTTAAGAAAAGGTAATCATAAATAGTAAACACCAACATTTTGATACAATACTAGTAGTTGTACATAAAGATTTTCACTTCACCTGCTTTGCTGTAAGCTTTGATTCAATGAGACAATGCAATGATCATTATGTCCAATTGTATCTATAAAATATACAGTATATCTACTATTCAATACAACCGGTCGCTAAACATAAAGTAATAAATCAAGTAAGACAAACATAAATAGTATAGCACTAAACAAAAAAAAAATTATATGGCAGGTAAAGGGAGTCTAGGCTGTCCCATATTTGAAATATGCAAGGCTTATCTCATTTGTACCTCCACTGCAGGGGAGAACATGGCAATGGTGTGACAGCTCCGTCTGCTCAGATGGTCACCTGAGACAAGGTTTTCTTTTACCACATGTCACGCTTCACTATCCACATATGCTGCAGGCAACCAACATTGCATGAGGAAAACAAGGGTGGAACCTTCAAATTCATTTTCACAAGTGTACAGTTGGGATTTTTCTCAGTTTTGCACAGCATGCTTTTGGGAATTATTTGCAGAACCCATGGTGTTGCATGTGAAAGCAGCATGCTTCAAAGGACTTTTTAAAAGTAATTTCTACAGAAATTGTTGCTGTTTAAATCTCTTTCAAATTCAAAAGTTCTCTAAATTTTTAAAAGCTGTTTTCTCTATCTGAACACTAAAGTAAAACACCCCTAAGCAGGTGAACCTTTCTGACATTCTGGCATACCAAATTTATAGAGACAGTGGTCACATTAAGCTGCGCTTTTGACAAAAACTTTATTAAGTATTTATCCTTGATCACAAGAGTAAACTAAAATGTCCATACAATATGTAATGCATGGTGTTAAGTAATTTTTCCCCATTTCACATGGAGCATATCTGGCACCACAAGTGCTTCACAACATTCATCCCAGCTTACTATGTGGAATAGTTTAAGTAAGCTTTTCATCATAAGATGTGCCAGGTATTGGCATCCGATTTAATTTTGGTCACCAGTGTTTGATTATTTTATTTCTCATTGGACACAGGGTCTACACCTCTGTTCAATTACCCCCAGCTGTGGGATTCAATGCCTCAAATGAATGCAAGTCTAACAAAGCACACCTTGCCTATGGAAGTGATATACTCAAGCCTTGTGCAAATAGCATCTCCATTTGATGGCTATTCTGATTCTAGTTTGTGGCCATAATCGCATCCATACATCACACCGTTAAACAAATCTACTTCACATAGCTAAGCTGCAGTAGTTTTCCCTGTGCATTGATTCTTTGCCGGAAGGGAAGCTACTCATAATGACATTTCTGTGTTGACTGAATAAGACGTATTGTGGGAGAGATTTTCAGTCAGATTAAAACCATCTATCTTCCTATTATTCATAGAAGCCAAGCATGATGTTCAAATAGCCTTGTCTTAACAAATGTTGAAGCTCTAGAGAAATCAGCCCGTGTAAATATCAGCATGCACGGCAAATATTCAACCATTTCTGAATATTATTTTGGGACCTCATATGTTATATTCCTTTTTTTTCTTTTGCCATTTCCAATCCGGAATTTGATCAGTCATAACAAAACCAGGAGATCAGGGAAACTTTTCACAATAAGCTCAGAGTCCCCGCACCCACTGAAACTATTATATCGTCTCCACTACTGTCGCCAACCCAATGCTGAGACCAATACAACAAGATTTTATCAATACAAAATTTTTCGGTGGCAGCACTCCCCTGCCTGCCTAGAATATCAAATATCCCCAGTGATTCATCCATGCTGATCAGAAAGGGCCCACACTACACAAAGGGTGGGAAGGTGTATGCTTGTGACACAGAACTCCTGTTCTACCTCTCTGTTTATGCTGTTTTCACATGGCTAGCTTCAAGCACCTGCCTTTCAAACCATTCCCCTAGCTTGTAATGACTACTTTCTCCTCCTCACAATACCCATTCTTTGTGTGCATGCCCCAGCAACAGGGGACTAAGGTGTGTGAAGGCTTTGGGCACAAAAGCTAGCACAAGTGCTGGGTTCATAGAAATGCAGCCTTTTCAGAGGGGTGAAATGTTTGTTTGCTTTTTACTATGCTTCAAAGGTTTAAACTCTTATATATTTCATTCCTTTTACTTGGGGGGTACTGCTCTAAAACTACTGAAATAACACATCTACAGTATTCATGGCCAATACTGCTCTCAATACGAGACTTGAAATTGTGATCAAAACAGTTTATGTGGGCTAAGAAAGAGGATATTGGAGTTCTACTGAAATAACAGAAGATTATATTTAGGATGGGCCTAATTCTACCCATATTGTCCCAGCAACTCTTATTATGGATCATTAAGTATGCAAGTGGTCAATACTTGTGTTAACACTGGCAATGAATCATATCAAGCTGAGAGAAATATGACTTCATGATTCTATTGACTTTATGACGACAAACACAAATATGTGTTTCTTCCTGGTGGCATGATCAAGGAATAAATAAATCATATCTGAAGAAATTATAGGAAAATGAATCAATAACACAATGAAAAATCTAACTACAGACATATCAAGAGAAAATCATGTTTGGCATGTCCCAGATGTTCTTTAAATTTTCACTGCTATTAAGTTTTAATACAACTGTTCCAGTTCACTGCATGTGTATGAAAATTCTCCTATAATCTGAAATTTTATTTCTTGGCATTTGCTTCTTCATTTCAACCAGATTTTCATCTTCCCACTTTATAATTTCATTTCATAAGACAGCAATGGCCTTGTGTCAAGAAACTAATATCAAAGCAAAAAAGGAATGTTATCAATCATTGAAAATTCAGACAGATACATTTGAAGCTCATGAGATTAAACATATACTTTTCACATGGATAATGGTTAACAGTGAGAGACTGGATGTGCAGCCTTACTGGAACCATACTTCAAAGACAAAAACACTTCTTGCAAATTGTTACCAAGGACATGATCAGTTAAATATAATATCAGCAGGCTGATATATTTCATTATCACAGAAGCAGCTCTTCCTGGGCTTTGAATTTTATATTTCAGTGTCCACAGCATCATCGTAATGCAAGATGCCAGGTAGAGCAGAATTGTTCACTCTTTGACCTTTGCTACAAGACTAGGATATCCCCTCTTTGCTTGCACTTGGTGATTCTTTACATGAAACAAGCATGATTCACATGTTTACAAACAGCAGACATTTCATTCACTGTACAACAGCTGTGCTGCCTCCCTCTGGTGGCCATGAATAAAATAATGGGTAAATGCTGCAGATGAGATCCATAACAAGCAATGCTTTAGTTGGGGTATATTGTTCAACTAGCACAACTCTCAGCTCCAAAAAGACATACTCAATAACATGTGAATATTGAGCCTTGTCAGGTTACATAATACCAATATAAGGTAATAAATAAAGAAACAGCCACAGCACAGGCGCAAGGGAGACTGAACCCTGTTCAATACATATTGCCATCATGCCTGCCTATATCTAAATATACTATGTGACCCAGTCTGCTCCTTCTCTGCAGTACATAGAATGTTCAGCAAGTGCACACCTGTTCTAGACATTCACTTTAATTTTGAAAGTTAGTGAACTGAAATGGCACTGCTTACTTGCTTCACTCCACTCAAATTAAATGTGATTTGTCTGCCAGCCTGAGCCAAACAAAGAGAGGGTGTACCTTGAGAAGAAATAAGGGTTTCACTTCATAGGCAGTAAAATATCATAATCATTCAATCATTTGAGGTGATTACTTACTATAATTTTTTCAAGGAGAGCAGGTGGTATTCACCAAGTCCAATAGCACTGACAGTTGTCTGAAAGCTTCGTTTCTCAGAAAAAAGTTCTTGTTATTTCTGGAGCCCCTAACCTATAAGGTAAATAAAAGTGGAAGTCACTAATTCATTCTCTACTTCTCTAATACAGTTTTCTAGACAAAGAGACAATGCATAATTTGATAATCATTGATGTAAAATGTAAATCCAGAGAGGGTTAAAAATAGAAATCAAGCAGACGTCCCTATCTACAGAGCTAAGATAGGAGCCACCACCCGACACAGAACATTTAACTTCACCACATACACATCTCATCAGGTATGTTAAATGAGGCATACCTGGAGAGTTATCTCAGGGTTGTTCTCTAGGTATTAACAGACTGTCACTCTCCTTATAAAGTATGGACAGATCTTGAACAAATAAGGGAACCGTATTTATAATAATAATAAGTATGTTACAGTACTGCTGCAACTAAAATGGGTATCTTGAGGCACTTGTGATTGTCAAATGGACACATCTTCTAATTTACTTGAAATTTCAGTATAAGGCAAGCATATATTACAATCAAATTCTTATCATTACAGGCTTCTTTTGGTTTGAATACCATTCCTTCCTCTAAGTGTACAACTTGCATTTATTGTCAGGTACTTCTGAAATTGAAATATTTTGGCCTAATCAAATGTACACCACAGAAAAAAAGATTCCCTGTACATGAAAAAGCAAGTGACTTTCAATTTTTCAGAACGCATGAGGGTTCAGGTACTAGTAACCTAATTCTATAGTACAATGTATTTATGTACAATTTTTGACAATGGGAAAATTAAAATTTGCTATTTTTTGTTATAATAGTACTGTAACCTTTCATATGGTAAAACTCAATACTGCTTAATCCTAACATTCAGAACTCCACTCTTTAGCCGAACAGCTGCAAAGCACTAAATATAAAGTAGCATTATTGGGTTACCTTGTATGATTAATAGCAAGCAATTGTGCAATGAAAAAAGGTTTGCAATGACGCACACATGCACACATACACATGCATCCACTATCTAGCCTTTGCTCTTGGAGACCCTTCAGCATGCTATGTTAACTTTTACAACTTTAGTATCTGGAAGACATCAAGCTTCTGTCAGACTTCTCATGCATAGAAAATATATTTTCTTTGCTGCATGTTTTTAAAACATCATGCTTGTGCTGTCAGTCCCATAGGGACGGGTTTTATCTGAAAACACTTGGATTCTTAGTAGAGAGAGAGAGAAAGAACATTCCTGAGTTGCATACTTCAATTTCCGCGAAAATATTAATGAAATTACTAAACACAAATGATAGAACAACTTAAAGTACATGAGAAGAAGAAAATAATCAGTTTAATAAAATTTACAATGTACTTTTTTAAGAAGATTATGAAAAGCTTTCTTAAAAGCAATTTCCAGAATTATGGCAGCTTTCAATGACATGCAGGAAAGAATATTTTCTTAGAAATACCCTACTGTGATTATTTACTTATTTCAGGCAAGAAACTAATATCGTGGAACTCCACTCCTAGATTAAAGTACACTGCCAATCAACATCACTTTGTAAGCATCAACAACTTCTGTACTACAACCTTCTTTTTATAGAAAGTTTATAATTAGAGCTTACAAGATCTGGGTAAAAGGCAACTTGGCTGCTATGCTCACCAAGACTTTATAGAAATATGATTTCAGTATTGAGAGACTTTGTGAGTGTTTGCCATTTCTCTATATAGTCCTGTTTTTGATTCTATTTTTTTTAAATTATTATACCAAAAGACATGTGGGCAAATCATTCATCAAAGACATACAATTTATGTTTGCTTTGATCCATAGTTTTACCATGCATTTCTGACACACATTGATTTCAGAATTTACACTTTGTGTAATGTAATTGTATATCTGAGTTTCCATTCTGTTTTCATTTGTATACTATATACTGGAAAATAATGAATCAAATGCTCTATTTATTCTTTGTCTTCTGTTCCGAAACAACTCCAATCAGATGTTTTATATGGAATTGGAATCAAATTTACAGACATGCTTTAAGCTGTTGCTGTGTTTTTTCCACCATAGTGGATTTTGTCCTAAGGTCATTGCACAGTAGGTCTGTTCCAAATGTCTTTTAACCATTACATTAATTTACTTCCCCATGACTCAAAAAAGGAATGGAGGAGCTGTGCCTCATCTTAACTATCTTGAACAGTGAAAGATAGGAACAGAAGTAAAAATAAACCTTAGGGAGGGTAGAACAGTACAAGTGATATTTTGTTTTTGTTTTTGGTTACACATAGAATGTTTCAATTTGATAATGGATCTGGAAGTAAAGTTCAACTTGGGGATGAAAGAAATGTGTCCTTTATCCATTTCAAATACAAGAACATTGATAAACAGAACAGTTCTTATCAAAATACATGTGAATGGTAAATGTGTAAAAAAAGTACAAAGTGGATCACCTAAAACTAGTTACTGTTCCTAAAACAAAATTTAAAAAAATTCAAATTCACTGAAACAAAATTTTGACAACCTTTCATCCTAACAGAAACTTAAAACATTTCATTAAGCACTTAAAATATAAAAATAAAATTAGTTTTTTTTTTTTCAATTTCTCGGGGTGGATTCTTCTATTTGTATATATTCATTTCATGCCTGCGAAATCTGCCCTGTGCACAGGGTGACACCAATATATAACCCTCCTCTCACCAGCTATCTCATTTCTTACTGATAACACTAAAAGGCATACCTTCATCAATAAAAACATATGACCTTAAAATATTCAACGAAATTTCAAGCTCATTTATCCTTACTTTCACATAAAAATAATACACCATCATAAAATATTATGCCCTCCCACATTTTGCTGGTCCTTAATCAATTAATTGAAATGATTCTGTTGTGAGGGCAGAATTTATATTGAAACAGAGCAGATGACACTGCTGGGCCTGTGCTATTTGAGTAATTTATTATTAGGTCTTAAAGAATTCAAATATTTTCATTCATTATCAATGTTAAGTATTTCCTTTTTCATGTAAAAGCATCTACAAATTCAAGTTGTTAAGTTGGTGACTTTTCACCCAACTCTCCAAATCCACAAAAAAATCAGAAGAGGGAGACATCCATCCATCAAAGAGGCCAGAATAGACCAATATGTATAGCAGATGAAAAATTGAGACAAAAATGAACATGAAAATAAAAAAATGTAATAGAAAGTAACATTTGCACGATGTTTCATTTAATACAATCACAAAATGACCTCACGTAATTACAGTTAAATCTCACAAGGCAGAGGTTCAATCAGAAATTCTTTCTTAAGTTTCCCAAATCATCCATCATCCGGCACTGAGAGGTATAAGAACCTTTTGACCCTGTCCAGGCAGTAGTGAGTAGAGTGGCAGTGGCCGTTGACCTGATGTACATACTTCAGCAAAAGTAAGGCCAAACCTTGTATCACCAGCTCTAAGGTCAGGATAGGCCATGTTCTACACAGCAGGCACTGTTGCCAACAATGCCCCTTGGCATCAACTGACATTTATTATTTTAAGTACCAAAGACAAGGGAGGACAAGCTTGAACACCACCTTCCTCACTTTTGATACAAAATTACAGTGACTTATTTACTGATATTAATGAAAACCAGGTGATCACCAACCAAGTTATATATTTTCATCTGTCTGTTTTTCTTTCTTTTTTGTACTTCCTAAACAATGCCCATAACCAACTACTATATGTCACATATTTTACTTAAACTCAAGAGACATACACACGAAAAAACAGGAATACCTGTAAGCTGTTAGACCTACCTGCAAGGAATTCTGACCCACTCACCTGCTGTGTACTTCTACACACTATACCGAATATAACACGTCACTACTGTATTTACAATCCACTTCGTACAACTGGTTTATCCTTAAAAACATGTCTGAACTACTGAATTAACACAAACAGTACATATTCTAACTTCTATATTGGGACATTTATAGGACAAATTCCACTCCAATGACCTATTTTTCCACTGATAATCAATTATCGGGATTCTAGGAAGGTCCTACTGAAGGAGTTCACATGTATCTGGCATTAGAAAAAAGATGAAAATAACATCCACACTATCATGAATGTGTCAGCTACATACTACAAAAAAGGCATATTATACAAGCATGGAATGTTAACAAATAACAAAAAGTCAAGATCTCTTAGTTTAAAGCAGCTATTCTACTTGCCTTCACACCGGGATATATGTCTGATACGCCCTTACGTCACAGGTGACAAGTTCTTCCTCTTGATAATGAGGGTTTGCCCTTTACAGCTCCAGTGTTTGCACCTCTCCAGTAAAGGTCTCACACACCACTGGGAAGGACACAAACTTCACATAACCCAGCAGCTCTTGACATCAGACTACACAGGAGGCCACCAATAAATAATACTTAATGTTGCTCGAGCAGCTCATCAAAAATGCAGTTAAGCCAAGCAGCGCAGAACTAACTTTGACTTGTCTGTTCAGACGAGGTTGTTAAAATTATTCAACCAAAAACAATGTTTCTGCACATAGAGTGCACTTACTTTGAGTGTGTAAGTGAATGTGTGTGCTAATGCACTTACAATTGCTACAATGACTCTTCAGATCTGAGGTCAAAGCTGAAAAAAGCATTGCGAAGTCTCAACCATGAAGACTGCTGTTTTACCATGAGTGACATTGAACAGAAGTTATATTATGGCACCCTTACATTTTCTAAAGGAGATCAGATATAGCCTTTCACCTTGTCAAATTGTACCTACCTTTCCTGATGAAGCTTTATCTTTCTTTAAACAAGTCTACCTTCTACTCAGTCAACAAAAACAAACCAGATCTCTTAACAGGGTTCTTTTTACAAGTATATTATGTCACTTGGCCTACACAACCTGATGGATATATATGTAGTTCCCTTATCTGCCTACAAAAATGCAAACCATATGCTTGCACTGTATTAAATTGGTTATTTTTTTATTAAACCAAGGTTACTCCAGAAAGTCATTCGGCTAAAATTTAACCTGCCAAACTGAACCCTACAATGCCTAGGACGGAGATTGGGTGCGATTGAGCTTTGAAACACTGCTTAATTAGTGGCAGAAACCAATGAAGAGCATTTGCAATAGAGAAAAAATCATTCTCCACAGCCAGAGGGGACGCCATTACGCACAAATGGAATTCTTCATGAAAACAGAACATGTTTCCAATGTAAAATCTAATGGATTTGCTAAAAGCTTCACTCATGATTTGACACCCTGCAAAGCTGTGACCTCATATTCATCATGTGTTTGTTATCATTTTTTGCACTGGTCATGATCCAAATACCCATTCAGGGATGCTGGTACCTAATGTTACATCATGGAAATTATAGAAACTCAAAAAAAACAAAACAATTATTCTGGTGCAATGATAGAACTGTAATGTATCATGGAAAATTTTTTGCTATCAAATAAAACATTGAATTATTTTTATCCAACCTTTATATACATTCAACATCTGGAACTTGTTACCACGAAAAAAATAAGTATGACAGAGCATTTAGATCAATGGTAGGCACATGTGTGGAGACGATGTCAAATACTAATCCACTGTGTACTTTACTCGATCAATAGAGAAACAAAAAACTAAATTAACAAATAAAATACAATTGCAAAAACCAGCCTGTGTTAAATTGTAAATTTTCATCGAAATACAATAAAAAGTCTGCAATACACAATGTCACAAGTTGGCAAAAGCTCAGACAAAATGGTGCCTTATCTGACAAGTTGATGTTTTGGTGACCTTGATAAATACTTTTTTTTATGTTCAACAAACAGGTCAGATATATTACTTGTACTCTGGCCCTTTGATCTTGAAGTTTGTCTAGTCCGTGTCAAAAACAGGCTCTGGCAAGTATAAATTTGCAATTTGCTACCAAAAATCAATGAGTTTTTGTATTATAGACAAGTTATTCATCTAAATTTCTGTATCATTTTAAAGTAATAATTATGGATAATTGACCAGAACTACTGAATCAATACCGATCTTTATTACATTTTCTATTCTAAATATCAGCTTCCATCCAGTGACGTCCCTTCAAGAAAGTCCTCCTACAAAACCAGTACTTAAAAATGTGCTTGGTACCGTAAATTTACTATATCATTCCACAGAAAGCCTACACTTCAGATTTCAAATTTATTTTTTTATTTTTTTATTCTTTTCTAATTTTGAATGAGATGGCTAAAACACTGCATGTAATGCTAATTGGTCCGAAAAATTGCTTTATTTATATTTAATAAATCTAGAAAAAGGGCTGCTTTCTTTGCCCTATAAGAACCAATTTACAAGTCATTAAATTTGAAGCTTGACCTTGCTTACTTTACAACAAGTTGCAAAGACAGGATTACAGCACATAAGATCAAATAAAATGGACTTTTCATATAGTTTGGATATAAAATGGAAGTTAATTTTATTATTCTTTCTATGGGTTGTTGGCATAAATATTATCATGTTCAACAAAAAAGTCAGTGTTAGTATGATAAATGGGATTATGCTGTTGGTCACCAAATTCATTGCTGGCTTTTACCATTTTCAAAAGTGAAAAACACTGAAATTGTCTTTAGCCTCATTTTAAGTCAAGGTGGTTAATAAGCGGGACAACCGAGGGATTGGATATCTTCCTATTCATGGTTAGAAACCTTAATAAGATGTTCTGCCATGACAGTTAACTCTACCTTAAGCTTTCACAACTTGACTAGAAAGGTGATTTCAGTATAATGGCTGTTTTTGTATTGAAGATAAAAGCGGTAATGGCTAAACTGAGTATAAATTAAAGTGCACGCACAGAAGTACCTTTCTTCATACTAACATGACTGGAAAATTAATTCATTCATATGCAGGGGTGCACATCACAAAATGCCTCCTGTTTCGGCAGATACATATCTCCCATCTTCTCTATACCTTACCTCATATATCATATAATCCCTTCTATTCCACACTCGAGGCATAAATTGCCATGCATAACTATCAACTGCTCATATTCCACCTGTGCTTTATCTTTTCTTACACATTATCATATGGAGGCCCCACTCCCTTTAATGCTTCATACCTCCTATCAAGAAAACAATAACTGATCATTTCATCAGGCCAGCCATGCCCATCAGCCATCCAACAGTGCCTTCAGCTGCAAATCAACACACATATTGCATAACAGAATGGATCAGCAGCTATTTAACACCATCAAGTGTGCATTATAATCCATTCTGACCTGATCAAATCTCATTTTACCTGACAGTTAAGGTCTTTTTTCCATGTGTCCTGCTGCATAAATGCCCCACTGCTAGAGAGCCAATGATTACAGCTCAACATAAAAGGACAGCCTTTACCACCTAATATTCCAAGACTTGGACAAGGGGCAACTGTTAAATATTCATTAAATGATTAACGAATAGATTTTTAACTCCAAAACTCCTCTGGGACTTTCCAACAGTGGTGATATTGTTAATTGAAAGGTTGAACTAATTAAGTATGTATGCTCTTCATATCATGCCAGGTTTAAGTAAAGGCCTATTGGTCATCAACAAAAATAATCAGTCCATTTCCCAAATCCCCACACCAGCCAAGGGGGAAGCTGTGTAAATTTGTTTTACTACAGGATTCTGATGCAAAACAAATATATAGGTTACTTGAGATTTGTAAAAGGGGATAAACTCAAGCCAATTAATTCTTGGGCCATGTGGAAATCCAGGCAACATTTTCCATTAGCACAAACACACTAAACAATCCAAAGAGGACACAGTTCTCATACCACACCTACCTATAACAAATGCAAGGACATGTATTAAGCTGGAGCACTACACTGGCTGCTGTTTCTGACTAACTTTTCTCCAACCCCATGCAGCAGTATTTACTTAGCACTAGAATGTCACAGACGTGATAACCATATAAATCCATCTCCAATTCTATTTCTGCACCCAATAAAAAGAAACATGACCAGTGTGAGAAGTCAACAAAGCAAGCTTTGTGATCTGACTGGCATTTGACTCCTACTGTTTGGAAAGATTTTCTTACTTTATCAAAAGATAGCCCAAGGAAGGAACAAAGCTTTAAGGGAAGAACAATGCCAATGCATGGTCACTTCAATGCCAGCAAAACCCGAAAAAAATCCATGGCTAGGTAACATGAAGCCATGTTTAAAGAACTAGAAATTCAACTGCACACAGGAGCTCCACCTGTTCCTACAATTTGCTGATCATATAGGTTCTTTTTATGCTTTGTAAACAACACTGTTTATCAATGCCATTTGTGAATTACTACTACTCTCTGTGTATGTGCAAGTCTTGTTCATATTGTCCAAGCATTCAGTCTAGCTTCACACCCTTTCAGTGGGAGGAATGTGGCTTTAGAACTTCTTGCCTGCATCAAATTACACTGCTCCTGATGAAATGCCTACTTGGTAAATTGGCAAATGTTGTGTTAGGGCAAAGTTAAGTACATTGTGGAAACCCAACACGCCTGAAAAGCACGAGGTGTGTCTTCGAGTACACCATTTCTGTCAACCTATGCTCTATATATATTGGCTCCTATGGCGAGCAGACTGACATGCTCTCAGAGATTAAGAAATATCACAAGGAATCCCCTTGAATGCTTTTCTGTGTTTAAATCTGTGCTCCAGACAGATGTAATTATGAGATGAATTACGAGCACAGCTGAAACAGATCAAACTCTTGCAACATTTTGTTGCAATTTGCCCACACAGATTTTAATGTGGCTTCCCTCTATTTTTTCCACAGGGATTAATTAAAAGTGTGCATTTTCTCCTTGTAGTGATGTAAGATAGACATGCTCTCATGGTCATGTATGATGCATTACCCTAGTTCCCACGCTAATGTCTTTGTGGAGTTGTTTCATCAGAACACTTCATGCTATCAACACAGAAACTTTGCAGTTTATGAGTAGTGTCAAAATAAAGAACAAGATTCTTGTATTCGAGAAATGCAAGTAAGGACCTAGTTTTTTTCCATGTGTGGCAATTGTTTAGACAATATGGCTTAAACATGATTGACTTATGTGGAACAAGTAATCTTTATCAAAACAAAATAATATCAATGATGTTGTAAATACTTTGGTTATAAATAAAGAGACTTGTATTTTAAAAAAATGGCTGTGTTCCACTTTTAAAAACATTTTGTGCACAAGCTCACTTTAAAACCAACCGATCATGTTTGCTACTTGGGTTATCAAAAGTATACCAGGCTTTACAATGCAGGACAATAAACCTGTCATGCTGAAAAATGAACCGCCTTTTTATCAATATTTTTTTGAGTATCATTTTATGACTGCTACAAAGGCTATGGAATCATTGCTATGAGAAAAAGAAATGTATATCTTGATTTGGGCAAAGCAAGTGAGCAAAATCTCTCAACTGCTAAATGTCTTGATCAAGTGTACAGTGCATTTTTATGACTCACAGTCCCATAAAAAAAAGGAGATCAATAAAAAGTATTCTGGACTTGTAACTATACAGCCGCATAATGCATTTGGCCTTCTGTATTTTTTTGTCTAGGCATACTATAGACAAATCAAATTTAATATTATACATCATATTCAAAATCATATTTTTTTTCTTCAATGAACTAACTACTGACCTTTGTTACTTGTGTTTCCTAGATGTCTGTACTTCCCAGTTCTACGTCCTGCCTTCTTCTGTTCACTGGTAGTTCTTGGGCAACTTCATTGGTAACTTGCACTCGGTTTTGAGTCTGAAATAGTACACCAAGTCTGTGAACAAGTAATCTCCCGTTTCTGGCCTGTTTGATTTAATTCCAAAAGCTAAGGGAGTCTGTGTGCCTCCATATACATTATGTTCTCTCCTTGTGTGTTCACTCACCTACCTTTTAGCTTTTTGCACAGGCATTTCAAAACTTGTGAAAAGCTTTGTAAATTTGGTGTTTGCAGTCACAACACAATCTCATTTTAATAATCAAATAGGCTCTTGCTCAGTCAATGTGAATTGCGAGCAAGTCATGTAATTTTATCAGCACTTTCCTTGCCACTAGTTTGCACACGTCTTTGTTCCACACAATAACGCCAAGCGCTTACAATTTCACACACTTGCAATCAAGCTCAAGAAGTAAATTTCATGTAAAAATAACAGTTGCTAAAGGTAGTAAGCAGACACAATGTATTTTGAACAAAGCACCCCTAAATGGACTGGCGGCACTATACTTTATAATTCAACTTCAGTGTGTTAATGTTGCACAATATTTCCCCTGAAATCAAATGAGTTGATCAGCTTTCTATTCTCCCTGTCACTTTAGCTGATTACGTTGTATGTTGGTTCACCTAAGATCTGTTCCTTTCAACTAATATTTACCTTCAATCCTGTTGATTTCCTCACTTGGCCTACATGAGTGTGGGTCCCAGTCATGATCAGTATTGAGATTTTATTATTGAGCAGTCAATGGGAATAATAAAGATTTATTCCGATAGTTTAATCATTTTGATGTGGCAATCCACTTAAAGGGCTTATATGTCTTTCTGACTGCAGGCTACTATATTGGAGCATAATTGTGCATTCAGTTGCTTCAGTCTCTATGATAAGATCAAGGAGACTATGATGTGGAACCAACCATGACAAGAGACTGATGCAGTAATTAGATGTATGAATTTAAAAAAAAAATTTGTTTGAAATTTCCATAAAAAAACAAGACTCTTCTTTGTTCGACTACCACCATAAGTACGCAACTACACAATGGATTTTCAAAATCGCTATAAAGTGGAATAAGTACTAATATTCATAATATATATTTTTTCTTTAACCAAACAGTACTGAAACAACAAGAAAATCTCACAAAATTCTACACTCACTACTTTATATAGAAATTTGGCTTTTCATGACCTAACAACAAAATGAAAGCCAAAGGTTTGCTCAGGATTAAGTTTACCATCATTTTCAAGGATACATGAAGCTACAATATTGGTGGCAGGTGTCAACATTATGTGCAGACCATTTTCTATATAGCCCGTATCATGCATTTTATGTTCTGAACAGATGTAACATCATTTCCCAATCCTTTCACAAAAATTGACTTTAGCTCGCTGACTCTCAAGACCTATAAACACATACCCATTTAAAACATTCTTGATAATGTACATCCTTAAGTGGACAGATGATAACCAACTTTACCAATTTGCTAGAAAAGAACCAACAATATTACTATCAATTCTATGGTACTGACAAGCTGTGAACGACCTCTGATGTAGAAGTCTGTCCCCACAGTGTTCTTCACCTGAGAGGCTGATGATCACACCATACCTTTTTGACCCAGTTAATGTCAGCTGCAGCCTGCTGCCACTATGTACAACCAGGAGCAGCAATGACTGAGCAAGCGTGACATGTGTGCATGAATGCTAGATATGATTACCAACTCACCCTAAAGCGCACCCATCATTTGAGCTCAGAAAATGAGTACAGTAACAAGCCTGTCACCTGTGTCTCCTATGTGTGTGACAAGAGTAATGGGATGTTGAGAATTTTCAAGCAAATGCCACCAGATTGAGTTCAAAAGGTTTGTCTCCCACTGGCTTTCAAAACTCTATTGCATTAACATCCAAGCAGAGATCTCCATACATAAATGCTACCTGATATGCAAAAGCAAACTACTGATACATATCTACCACAACCAGGGTCATATGAGAGATGAAGAAACTGCCTATGATCAGGTAGAAGAATAGGTCAGTTCCAATCCTCTGCTGATGACCTTTTTCAAAATCATTAATCTCATTTTCTCAGCAGTAAATTTAACTAGTTATTGTTATAGCCAATACAAATCTTGAACACTTACATAAGCAATGTAGTGAAAAGATGCCACGTAGATGACCAGTCAATAGGCTCCTGAAAACCCTAATGTTTTGCCTGCAGTTTTTGGAGTAAGCTACTGTGAATGAAGCAAATTCCATGCAGGTTTCATAAATGGCGGAAGGCCAGGCAGTGTTACATTTCTTCCCTTTATATACATTACGATCTAAATGCTAGTGGCCCAGGGTTGGAAGCTAAATGCCACATCACTTAATTATCTTCTGACATTTTGAAAATTTCAGGCAAAATCTGGGATAAATAATTAGGAAAGTGTAGTGGAAAAGTAAAACTGCACAAGGGAGTGATTCTGGAAAATTTTCTTTTTTTTTAATTTCAGACTACAGACTATATTCAATTCATATGATTCACAAGGAAGCAAAAGAGACCAAAATCATGAGCATTTAGGTCTAGTATTCTAGTAAATACTCAAATTTATGTTTAAAAAAAAAAAAAGAAATGGTGAGTACAACTTTTGCTACTTGAAAGGATGAAAGAAAACTGCAATTATTACCAAATATGTTTCATTCAACCAAACCACAAAAATAAAACCCACATATCAAGTTACATAGACCTCTGAAAGGCTCAGAAACATTTTACCAGAATGACCTGCTATTCAATATCACTGACAGAAGAGATGGCAAATTACATGATATAGAATAAAAACAAATTATTTTTTGCGTTCTTTTGTAACTGTAACAAAATATAACCTACTTTTCATGACACCAGATAGCATGGCTCATCTAATTTTTTTAACATTTGTGTTATAATCAGATTTGACATTGTGCGTCATGATTGACTTTCATCTTTTGAACAATTCAGGATCTTGATCAAGTGCTTTATGCCTTTGTCTTCATTACTTTTTTCATGCTCACATGCAACTTGATAATTTCTGAGTGGGAACACGCTGAACTTTCCAACAGCTTTTATACTATCCCATAGAGCACTCCTGGCAATCTGTAATCATCTTTGTTTAATGCATGAAGAGTTATGACTCAGACAATATCCAAACACACTACCATTAAGTTATGATATTTTGGTATTGTGTCAACAATTTAAAAGATATTCTAAACAAAGAGGGAAATTAATCCCATACCAGTGGTAACCTTGACTGACAACTGAACCAGCCGACAGAAACTTTTCAAAAACAACAGCTGGATGCAAAAGGAATTCTTGCTAATTTGTAGTACTGCTGGAAGGAACTTGAATTTCACACAATTTGCTCAATGTACGGCTCAACAGCTGAATTATATAGAAAGGAAGCCAAAGGAACCCAAACAATTTTCAACCTTAAATCAATAAATGTGAAAATATGTACACAGCACTGGCGATGGTTTAACTCTACTCCCATAAAATTAAAACGGAAATCAAACCACAGTTTAATACAGAAACAAAAACCCAAGGTCAGGATTTAATTATGGGTGCTGTGTAAAACATTGACGGACATTTACTGTCCTGTACTCATCCAACATGCTTTGCAGCACTGAACATAACAGATGTCACTTTCTAGCAGTTCTATGTCATGCCTGTGTATAAGGTTCATATAGTTATATCTGCCAGAATTGGCATAAATCTATAAATGCCAACAAAAATAGAGAGCATAAGGGAACAGTGTTGCTCCCCCATTGCTCCACAGGTGAAATGGAAGCCCACATTTACCCCCAAATTATATGACTGTGCCACAAGCCTCGAGCACTTCCAAACAATGAACCTGTCTAGGTTTATAATTTGGGAACAATGCTAAACACAGCTGATTGCTTAACATGTTGAGTCTCATGTCTGATTAACTGGAAAATAAACTCATCATTAATACTTGTATAAAAGAACTTGCTTTTCTTTAAACAGGGTTATCAACAGACACAGAACTGACAAAAAAAAAAAAAAAAAAAAAACCTAAAATACTGCCACCTATCAGTCAAAATTTAATCCAAATGAGATCTTCATAATGCTACAGGTTAATATACAAATAATATGAAAATTGCACACTATTATACATTAAAATAATGAAAAATGTCTAAAAAAAGATGTGGTTCTTAATTTTCACATGTATTAATCAACAGGATTTATAAACAAAATTGCCCTAAATCAGATAACTTAAAAAAGTGCTAAATTTATGTATTTAAACTGCAATTTAATGTTCAAATTGTATCAATACAGAGAGCATCGCATTCTTGACTTCGGACCATAAGTCCCCCCCCACCTGCCCATTCAACACACTGTCCCAGAGATTACCAAGAGTGCAATACTCCTACTGCAATCAGCACTGATTCAGTGAGCATGACAATTAATATCACTTTTCACCTCCACATTCCCACAATAGTATGCAGGCCACCTTACTATATCTTGGTGTAATATTAAGAAGTTTATCCATTTGCTTATTAATAGAGAAAGGAAAAATGTTTCTCTACGTGACTATGAATCTCTGATAACTATAATGTGCAATTCCTCACATTTTCTGCCATATTGGAAATAGCAAGGAGACAAAAAGAACCCATGTGTGAACAGCAAAATACCCAAATAAAAGCTGGACAAAACATAGCATAATGCAATTGCTCTGAGTCAGTGTTCTTAAGGTCAGAATATCATTTCACAGTATGAAGTTAATAATTCAGCTACTGAAATCACTAATTCGTGGTATCAAGTTAAAAACGGCAATGAGGCTTTATGAGGCTAGATCAAGCTTGACCTTGTATCATTAGTATATATGTGTTGGTTTTAATAGGACTCTGACTTAAATAAAAAATACACTGCCCTTATGCCAGTGCTTTAAAAAATAACAATTTGAAGCCTGAGTTAAAAGGAAGTTTGAGTCTTCACAAGATTAGTCCATTTCAATTCAAACTTTTAGGAATGCTCCAACATAAATTGATTTCCTCCTCATCCAACCTAGGACCTTGTGACCTGTAGCCCACTGACAAAGAGAATCACATATTTTATTTTTACTAAACTTTTCAATTTTGTAATATTACACACAAACATTTTGCCAAATTTTTCACTTTAATCACCTTGTTTTGAAATTCAGATAACTAGAACCATTCATAAGTTTTTCAGCATTGATAATGGACAGAGAAGTTTATGTATGCCTAAATTATACCTGATATGTATCAAAAGTGACAAGCCTGGGGGGGACTGAGCAGTTTCTTTAGAAGGGGGAGGGGTTCTTACACCAGCCGTGTTGTAACTCTTTAATTTCCTTGTTAACAACTACATACCACATGCAGCACATTCATGGCTAGAAAATGCCTGTAAGCACCCTTAACTCTTGTGTAAGAAGTGAATAGTGGTGTAGAATGTATTTCACAGCAGTAATAAATTACTTCAGGAAGTTATTGCTGACCCAGTCTAATGGAATAGTCATAATTTAACCACAGGTCTGACCACCTTGCTCCCAGGGTTAAGTGGGCTCAAGATACCATCTTAAATCTCAGCTAACTACCAGATGTAGCTCAAGCAGGAAGATGACTTCTACTGTTTCCTCTTTGATATGGTCTCCACATAATATTAGACAAAAACACCCTGTATTTTGCGATTCTTTAAGAAACCTTTTATTGCAATTTTGTGATCTTAATCTTTTCATTCCCTTTTTATAAAGCGTATACTTCTCCTTTGCAGCATATTGCCCGAGAACTTCAAGTGCTGATCAAAAATGAATTTCTTCAGTAAAATGTTTATAGTGTATGCCATTAAGTGTAGTTCCGACAAATGAATAGCAGTCTTTCAAACAAATTTAAAGGACAATTTTGAGCTTCACACTTGATACAGTGATGCTGCAGATGATATAATACTGCCCATTACATCAGGGATTTTTGCTCTTCTGATGCCAAAATCATAAAATGGTTCTTTTGTATTTGATAGTGTAGATTCCCCATGATTCCCTTGGGAATGACAAATGTTTCAGGCTTGCAGTTCACTGCATTTTTTATAAATCAGAACAACGTATATTAGGCAACTAATACTAAAAACCCTTTTATGTGCTTGGGGAAAGTTAGGTGAGGGTGGGAGTGACAGTGTGGGGTGTCTTCATTAACCATGAGATTTTTTATAGTTTGCTGACAATTTCAGCATTATCACATATTATACCTTGCTGAAAATTCTAAGCAATATCTTATTTTGGCAATATTTCATTATAGCATCCAAACTATATTCAGTAAGATGTTAAAAAAAAAAATTATCTTTAAGATAATTGTATCAAAACTGATAAATAGGTATGGGTGGTATCAATGGTCCTTATCATTCAAAAGATATACATAGCACTGGCAGATCTAGCATTATAAAAAAAGAGGCAAGGCAAGCAAAATAATCTTTTGGCCTTATCTTTTCTCCCACTTGGTGAGAGAAAGGGCCTTTGACACCATACCACTTGGAGCTATGTTTTAATTCCTCATAGAAAATTTTCTAGACCTAAGACCAGGGAGATTACAATCTTACAGTTTATTAAATGCATTACATTTTACCCCCACCCAAGGCTGTTCATGCACATATTCAGCATGTTATCTAAAAGGGCAATGCACTACCATTCTTGGTACTCCAAATGTGTCCAAGAGTGATGCATGATAATGAGGTACATTCGTCAGTGTTTCATTAATCATGCAACAGTTTAAATTATCACAGTTGTTAATGACTTTCTCATATCCTACCTGTACATGTAGCATTGTATAATGCTGTCAGTTCTTTAAAAATTGATATGCTAGCAGGATAGAAACATCTGTCTTATGGTTCATTAACAAGAGACAAGAGATACAAGCCATTTAATCATAGATAAGAATCACATAAGATAAGAATGAAAGGGGCAACACTTTCATCTAGTTAATGGAATTGAGCATGCATATTCTGAATGAAAATTTTACTGTAAAAACTGTTTTTGTCAACAAATGCTTAAGAAGACAAAGAAGGGGATTTTGTTTTCAAGTAAATATGAATCAATATATCAATAATTATTCTGATTCATAAGTTTGCTAAAACGAAACATGGTTTCTTGCTGATATTAATCATCACAAAGTTACAAGTTACAATTAGTTTGAAGCTGAAAAATCCTAAGGACGGTTATCTCACTTTACAGTATAGGTGATTAATCTTATGATAAATGAGCTAATTTCTCTCTTTCTTTTAAAACAATTAGTTATTTACAGTTGTATTCTTCTCGTCCTGGAGCTAGATATTGTGATGTGGCATGAAAAAAATGATAAGAAACTTATTTCTATCACTTGGAATGGGGATCATCTCAGACAGCCTAAAACTGCATGATATCATACAAGACAAGAAACCATGCGATAATTTTTGGGGTTATCTTTTAAGCCGTAAGGGTGAGACACCTCATTCTGGGAATGTCATCAATATAAAATTGACAACTTTTTCAAATGTGCTGCAACAGACTGTAATAAGACTGAAATTCAGAGATAAACAATCAGAAAAATATCGGTGTATGATCTGGCAGTTTTTATTTGTTGCTGCACCTCTCTCTGTCCATTATTTATGACCCCACTGTTAATCATATCCTACAAAATCTTGCTTAACTTTATGCTTACCCACAAGATTTTGGTTTATAGCTAAGATCCCCACAGGCTTTTGTTTTTGCGTCTTGAGAAGCATACACATGACTATAACTTTCATTAATTAATATAAAAACCAGAGGTTAAATCGATGTACCTCCATTAAAAACCTGTTTTAAATAAAAGCCAAGCAATATTTTATCAATACCGTCCTCTTGTCTCTCACAGGATATATATCCTGAGAAGTTTAAAGGACATGAAGACGTAATATGTATGTTTATACTTCTTCCAATGTTAGTTTTTTTCCGAAATGTATAAAAACAATCATTTTCAAGTTATTGTTTTAAATATCTGCTTTAACCGTTGTGAAGACGCCAAATAAATAGCTGTATTAACAGTAATGTACACTCGCTATAACTTAAACAGGCAGCAAATGTAATCCAAGAAGAAAACATATCTCTGCATCAATGAAGTCTACATCACGCAGGTTTTGTACACAACAACTGGAATGTGAAATTGACCCATGGCCACGCAAAACTGGGTCATGAAGTCAAAATGACTTTAATTGCTTGAACTCACAGATTGTGGCATTCTTCGTACTTATGATGAGAGAATATGAGCAAATGTGTGAAACTTACCGTGCTTGATGCAACAAGACCACTGGAATCCACAAAAAACCCAAATGTTCTAGGAGAAACACCTACAGGCACTTGCCCCTAGCGCCATATGTCAAGAGGGTAAGGCCGAGCTCGCCGGTTGGATAAATTTAAGAACATACAAGTGATCACATTTACTTTGTTGATGACAGGAAAAAATTGTTTGTAATATAATTAATACTAAAATTTTCAGAAGCACACAATTCTCATATTTAAACCGAATAGTTTTTTATATTTTTTGTTAGCAGCCGAGAAAATACGATGCAGTTAAAAAATAGACAAAGCTGATTGGACAGAATCTAGGTTAAGCAAGGTCAACCTTTCACCCTGAGCTACTCCACGTGATAATGAAAAACATTGAGAAGATCACGGAAATGAAAATGAATCTAACGGCGTGCGTTTTGTTTATTTCTCTTTTTTCAATTGTGTCTTTGTCCGTGAACGAGAGAAGGTTAAGTGTGATTGAAGATCGCTTGACCACAAGCAATATTTTACTTGCTTTTGCTACTGACACTAATGGTGCATTGGAGTGTGCAGAGGGTCAACGCAGCAGCGATTACAGCTGGAAATGGGGAAATTGGCTGAACTTGGGGTCACCCAGTGGTGTGAAGTTTATATCGAACCCAGCAGCTTCATACACACCGAGTAATGCTACTGCTGTGTACCTGTTAGGCTCTAATGGGAAGCTCCATTTTACAGTTCAGAACCTAGGTGAAGTAGGCGGCTGTCGTGCTTTCTCGCCATCTTACAAAATAGTGTCAACAAATGTAAGTCCATCCACAACAGAGACACTTACTGGCATGGATAGTGTGAGTGTTGTTAAAGGAAAGAAAGACTCACTCTATAATGTTTTCTACAGAACCCCATCTAATCGTTCAGAGTTGTATGTCAGCGAAACACGAGATGGCATTAATTTTTCAAACTGGACAAATCTTGGCGGGGATTTACTGAGTGATGCAACTGTGATCTTCAACACTTTCTCTGGTTATCTAGAATGCTATGCATCTTTCAAAGATGGGAAGTTATACCGTACCTGGCAGTATGAGGGGACAGACTGGGCAAAGTGGAGAGTTCATGGTGGGTATGAGCCTCTACCCCTCCCTCCAGTTAAAAATACAAGCTGGATCAAAGGCATTATGCTTATAAATGTGTTTGGTGTTTTGTTTACAAGCACAAGAAATGGACAACTTTTCCAGAAAGTAAGAATGTTTCTTATTATCCAGGGTCGCATATTTTATACATGTCTGCTAAAGAGCTATTTCATAAGTGATTTCCATTTGAGTAAACTTCCTTTTTTACAGTTTTCAAACTCTGATGTATTTCAAGTCTACTAGCTAGTAGTCATCATCTCATTTTCAGGTGATGGTCAACCTGATGTGATTTCCACTACTCGACCTGTTGCCCATTTAATGAGCCAGACAGTTTTCAATGGAATGGTAGAGGTGTTTGCTCTGGGTACAGATGGTTTGGTACATCACATATGGCAGACAACATGTGATAAAGTCAAAAATCCCTGGGGATATTGCACCTGGGGTGTATGGGAAAAGATTCACAGCAAGGTAAAAATTCAGACAGAAAGATCTTGGGTTCATACTTTATTAAAAAATGTAGGTATCTGGTCAATATATATAATTATTGGTCTTTATATTGTTTGAAGTAATTTTTGGGGTAATATTTTATAAATGAAATCATTGTTTGTCATTATGGATAATGGAAGGTTTTTAAAGTTAGTTTGATAAGGGTTTGTCATTCAAAGTATGGAAAAAGACTTCCTTTGCCTGAATAGCAGTTTTTTATATTACATGTGATTTTGTACTCAGCAATTTGCCAGAATTTCCTGTGCATGAATAAATACAAGACTTTGAAGAGTGACACAATGTGAGCATGGAATAAATTTTATATTTATAACAAAAAAGCCTGCTTTTATTAGTCTTATATCTATGAATTGTGTTAGTTTTGATTAACACAATTCATTGTCAATTATGACAATAAAAATATATCACTGATGGTAAATCTAGCATGCTGTTTTCACAGGTTCCATCCCTGGGGACACAAGTCAATGCACTGGCCATAAGCAACAATATCCACTTGGGAAATGAAGTGTTTTTACTTGACAGTTACAGCAGGTAGTTGACTTTGTAACTTATATTTACTGATATGTAGAGGGTTTAAAATGCACAAATTTTCCAATACTCGCAGTGTTTTTACAGATGAAGTAGGTAAACATAACACATACGAATCTTGTACAGAAGGTCTAAAACTTCAAGATATTACCAGAAAAAAAAACTTGTATCCCTATAAGTCTTTGGCCTACAGCCTGTGACAAATAATAATTTTTGGATTGTTTTTAGACTGTGGCACCTTTGGCAGCTTGAAATCAGTGGCAAATGGAATGGCTGGGACTTGGTGGGATCATCATCTGCAGGGAAAATGGCCAGTTTACCCTTAATTGTAAATATGGATGGAGGGTGGTGGACTTCTTTCTTCGTAACTGCAGATAATAAAGTGAGTTAAGTAAAAGGCTAATAACAGTGTATTTATATATCTAGCTGAAACAACATTTCCATGATTTTTGATATATTGTATTTTCATGTATCTCTTCTTCTGCGATGAAAGTATATTTATCTGGGTTTCATAGTATACTGGTAAGCATACCATGTAACTGAAAGATGAATAAACCTCATTAAATGAAAGAGATATAAAATTATATATAATGTCAGTCATTTTGTCCACAACAAAATTTAATTTCAGTGCAGCAAGCACCTTCCTTTCAGATTGTATCTGTTACCCAAAACCACAGTATTTATGTAAACCAGTCAGCAATGGTCAATTTTGGAAAGAACTGGACTGCTGTCTGGACTGTCCCAGTAGATGAGGCTACAAACAAGGACTGGATAGGGGTGTTTCCTTCTGCAACCAGTGATGACAGTTATGTGGACTTTAGGTAAATGGTTCTGGTCAAACAAGAATCTTAACAAAACATTGAATTAGTTCAGCTCCACTTTAGCTATTTCAGAGAAGAGTTGCCTCCTGTAGTTTTATGTTTGAATAGTTCTAAATTTCATCTGCTGTTAAACACTATATGGATTGGGTTCCATGCCTGGCTTAATGTAATTGTCATGGATATGTATAATTTTTTGTTGAATGATAATAAAGGTAAGTCCTGATGACAAAATGAAATTAATCGACATTCTTCCATTAAGATACTTACATTTGGGGTTAACCACAGGACATTTGTGGTGAGGTATCAGAGAGCTATTATCCCTCTGGGTATTTGGAGTTCCCTGGCAAGTTTACATTATTATGTCCTGGTATTTTAACTGCAAAACTTTAATTTCACAATGTTTTCTTAAAAAAAAACTTGTGGTCTAGTTTGTAAATTTCATAGTGAGTTATTTATTTTATTCCATACAGGTATGTTCAGGGAACCCAGAATCCCAGAAAAGATCCAGTACCTGTAGGTAAAGTTACCTTTCGTAGCTTTTTACCTGATGGCGTGTATGATGTGCGCTACATGGTGAACAGAAAATACATCAGTGTCATGCAGACAAGTAAGTTTTGTTTCACTATTGACTGTAAAGGCATGGGGGGATGTCTTAGTGTAAAATACTCAGGTAATATGAATTTTGACCTTTCCACCACATCTATAGCTACTTTACCAGATTCCTTTTTTTTATTTGAGACATTGCACTGTCTATACTATATCCATTATCATTATGAGCACCTGAGTATGATTTGGTATTTAAATTAATTTTATAACTTGTAAAGTAAAAAACAGCTTTGATTTGGTATATTTTAACCGTATACATGTACATCAAATGTATTGAACCACACTGTGTTTTGAGACAAATATGAGTTCCTTCAATTAGTTCTTCCCTAAAAGCTGATCTGTAAATTGAAGTGTTTTCTGGACCATATTTCAAGTAAAGTCCAAAGAACAGTGCATAGATAAAACTGATGACACAATGAAGTTCAGATAAACATGTGATCCCTTGACCGAAATATTAGTAATACATGATATCAGTTGTTTATTGCCACAGGCATGCAGACCCACAATATGACCCATGATAAAGAATGGGTGCAGCTATACAATGGCTTAGAGGTCGGTTTGGGGAAGGAAGGGGCCAACTTATCCGCTTGTGTTCAGGATGGAAATGCAACTGTGCAGACATTTAAGTTGGCCTTTGATGCTTTTGAAAATAGAGAGGTAAAAGATAAATGAGAAAAAGAGGGTGTGAGTCAGAAATAAAACAAGGTAATCAAAGTGTGCAGTATTAAGATTAGAAAATGATTTTTTTAAGTGCATAATTCCAACATACCTTTATTAAGCAGGAAACACCTGCATTTTAAGCAAATGTGAAAAAAAACAAGATGTATGACTAGTGTTTAACTAGTGTTTAATATGGCATTGCATTCATTTGATTTGTTTGATATCTGCATTTGATATTAATTTTTAATTATTTTCCTGTCATTTTAGATTATCAAAGGATTGCAGTTATTTGGAAAAGCACTGAAAGATGTGCAGGTGACACTGGTACAGTGTGAAGAGACGACCATTGCAGAACGCCTTGGAAAGTTCATCAAGGACTTGGTGGAATGCACAGAGGGAAGTTGCACAAAGTTTGTAATAGATATTGCTGAAGAAATTTTGGTTGTGTATGAAGATATTTATGAGATTTTTGGAGATATTAAAGCAGCTAATAATGCCTTGGGACTCCTGAAAGCATACCAACAAAGTGGATTGTGTATTGGAAGAGTAGTGGGAGCTTGCATCTCTCTGCCTTCATGATTAACAGTAACTCCAGATTTAATATTTTTTAAAAGTCATTTAACTTAAGAATAATTTTAGAGTGATTTTAGAAGGTTATCAAAGTGAGTCCTGGGTTTGGGCCTCATAAACAGTAGCTGTCATTTGTGAACCTGAGCCAAGGGTTTGTGGTTTACAACTTATGATTTTATGGCACAAACATAAAAATACTTGTTGCAATAACTCCAGTAAAGGTCACATATGTTTTGGCTAACTCTTATCCAAAACTCATGTTGTTTTATATATGGGCTCTTTATATTTACCCCAAACTATTTTCAGTGTGACAGAAGATTCAAGAAACTGCATTGACAAAATAGGATACAAGTAAAAATTAATTCACTGAAACTTTCCACAACTCACAACTATCTATTCTCTATAAAAAAGCTTCAAAACAAATCAAACTGTAATGTTTTTCTATAATCTGTTAATCATATAGTGTATAAGTAATATGGTAGTCATGCACTCTTGACAGTCTCTGGAATGTACAGAACCTGTTTAATAGGAGGGTGAGTGAACTTGCAGTTGGATATTTGTTTTGCAGTGCTTGCAATTTTTTACATTTTTGCTATGAAATTGTGGATTAAGTCCATAATTTAGCTTTCACAATCATAATCCAGTGGCTTGAAGTCACGAATGGCAATTTTGTTCACAAGGCCTGAGATTTATGGTACACCATGTTGCCTGATTATGATTAAGATGTTTTGATTGCATCAGTCATAGTTCTGCACATGAAGTTGTGTGATAGTGAGACTTAATAACATTTTTATTGAGGCAACTTGCAGATTTTGCTTCAGAAAGACAAACTGCGCTCTTTTTTATGTGTAGAGGTAATGATAGGAATCAATTTTTTTGAAAATAAGTCCTAACAATCTTTATTTCTGTTAAATTTCTTATGTTTTAGATGTCTTTCTTTTGGGTTTGCGTTTTGAAATGATTCCAACACACTTCACATTTACATATGAGCTCATAACATATGTTTGATATTAATTGGTGCTAAATGGAATTTTAAAGTAGAACCACATTTGTTCTTGAGGTGATCTAGAATATTCCTAATGGCAGAAACCCGAGTGAGATATGAATAATGGAAGATAATAAAACAGACACTAACAGAAGCACAGCATTAACCTAAAGAAAGAACAGTGACCATATCAGTGGTGGCATTGCCCAAAGGTTGCAAAAATTCCCAAAACTCATGTTAAAAGGAAGCCATTAATTTCAGTATGTCAATGTCAGACTTGACCTTTGGGTGTACAAGTTATCTGAGCGATTCAATGTGAACTCTCGGGGTGAGTGCATGATAGCAAGCAGAGTCGAAGTACACGACTGATGCGTGAAAACTACATTAAGCGTGTCAGGAATGTTTTATTAGAGAACTTGCACTGAAGATTTCAGGTCAGCAGATTTACTTGGGTAAGATTTTTTTTTTAAGTCTGAAATTTTTGTTGAAGATAATGAGCAAAAGTTGCACATTTATCAGTTTTTTACTTGCCAAATAAACTTAATACCTGCTACATAAGTGGCCTGTAAGCCGTAATCTGTGGACTTATACAACCATGTGGTATACATTAGAAAAACAATCAGTGAACCTGTTCCTATTTGAAAGTGGCACCACATCAAGTAAGGATGTTATAAAGGAAGTCTCCAAGTTAATAGCCATTCAAGATTTCAGAAGGGTAATATTTTCTCAAATACCATTTTTTAAGTTAAGACGCTTTTTGTCTTTAACTTTACCTAATCCCCTAATTCTTTTCATTTTGTTCTTGCCATTCACTGTTGTTTTCTGTATTGTTTTACTTTCCCCAACTTAAGTGAAGCAGAGGTGAAATTGTATAAGTTGTAATGATCCATTGTTTTAACATACTGAATTTCTCACATTTTGACTTTTTTTATTTATGCAAGTTTAAGAAAGTACTGCTGGTATTATCTTTGTGTTATCATTACGAACACACTTAGAAAAGAGAAGAATGATTTTTTTTTCTCTCATAAGTCATATTAAAGCATGATGGAATAGGGTTAACTTAAATAGTAGATTTATCGAATAAAAGACCACAGTGCATTGTTAAAATTGGTCCCATTTTGATCTAAGTCCACTTGAATTTCTCTAGGAACAAACTTTGCCCTGTGTAGCTAGGTTAAAAAAAATCATTTGAAAAAAAGGCCTATCTAATCAAGGTGATCTGTTTACCAATGTTTTCATTGTTGATTAAGAATTATTTGATATAACACATACATATTAGCATAGATAAATATACATATTTAAGCTACTTCTTACTTTCTCTCTGCATATATTGTAAAATTAAATTTTTAAAATAGTTAAATATTAAATATTATATTTTTGATGCCAAATGCTTTTTTTTTTTAGCATTTCAAAGGTTTAATTTTTCAAATTATTTGGTGTTTTGTTTAACGATTGCATATTTTTGTATAAACATTATTGTGCATCATCTGTGATAAATATCAGATTGTTCAAGCTTACCAAATGTGATTGATAAGAATTGTTGTGATTCTTCCCTAACACAATCAAATAATGAGCAGATTTTACAACACCACATGAATTTATTCTGATAATAAAACTGAGAATGACATTCTGTTTGATAATTTATTTTTTGTTCTTTATGATTCTACATACAACAATTTCCACGTAGGATACGCACTGCCATAAGGTGCTTACACAGCTTACTGACAAGACTGTTCTAACATCATACGCTGGAACACAACCTTGAATTATGCTAGCCTACACTTGGTTGTCACTGGCTATTCATACGTATATCTACTACTTTTTTAAAATAAAATTTATTAAAATAAAGCTTGATGTAAATGACCAAAGTAATAACTTAATTCAAATAATAAATTACACACATCTGTTACAAGTGTTTTGTATATTGTACACCCCAAGAGAAAAGCATGTGTCACTCTTATTTGCTTGAACATTCACATAACTTGCTACCGGATCAATTTTGTTACAAACCACTGGTGTCTGATGTGTCTATTTGCAACTCTAAACCCTACCCCAACATACCAAAACATAAACAAAAAATTATATACCAAACAAAACTTAGAACCTTTTTTTAAAGTTTCACTTAATCGATAAATATTAATTTAGTGTGCAGAACATGACATTTCATAAAAGCCATTATCCTGTACAGTTTTATATTTGTTTTGAAACTAATTAAGTGCAGTATGTTATTACTGCAAAACACATGCAGATGTCCAATATCATATCCATAAAACTATTTCACTGACACAAGCAATTAAGGTCTTGAGATATTTTCTTGATATACAGATACAATATGCAGCAGTGAGGGAATAACATTAAACAATATAAGCAAACATAACTGAAATATTAGTTGTAATATGATATATACAACAGAATGTATTTTTAAAAATTCATAAAATAATACAAAAATAAAGATTTCTCATGTCAAACAAACAAACAAACAAACAAAAAAAAAACTAATTCAACCAAGTTAAAAGTATATCTCAGATCTCTTCGGAGTCATCTGTACATGTTTTTCTGAAGAACATCAACAGGTCTACAGCATACTTGGCCATTAATTAACATGTACATGACATGTAACCACCGAGTACCTGGGAGATCCATCCATGGCACTGCCATCCATCTGCACTCTAACATTTTCAGTGCTCTGCCTCACATTTAATATTTACTGATTACAAATCCATTTATACATTTAAGGACATCCAACACATACAGTCTTAACTATACAAATACTCAATGCCTCGCTATGTTACACAACGCCTAAAGCATTTGGTCCATTTATCTATGTGGTTTTGATTTATTCAAGCAGAAAGAAACTTGGACTTAAAAAGTCAATTTCAAACCCTGGTGTAGAAATGCAATTCCCCATAATACTCACATAGGTTAAATAATCAAAATACTGTCAAGGTGACTTTGAAATCCAAGTTATGAAAGCAGATTTATATATTAATTCGTAACAATATGACATTATTGCATTTACATTATATTATTCTCATCACTTTGAAATGAACACATAATTTTGAGGTTTGGATATGTAACATGAAACCATAGCATTACTAGTATCTTGCCAAATCTATAAGATTATGCCAATAGTCATGCAATGACAAAGGAAAAAATTTAAACACTTCTACATACAGCATGCCTCAGTCTCTAGACAGGGCTAAAAAGCAATCTGATTGGCAATTCCAGATTCGCTTTAATGCTAAAGAAGACAACAACGACAAGAAGAACAAAACATACGTCCAACATTCATTTTCTTAGTCTTGTAAGTGTACTTGTTATCTGGATAAACAATACTTGGGAGGGAAAGTTATATACCCAAACCCCAAGTGCATAGACTTACATATAACTTTTTCAGCTCTGTGCCTAGCTGAAAGACATGCAAATCAGATATTTCCTTTATACGCAATGGTGTTCTTGTTAGTGTAGGTAAATGAGTTATGTGTTTTACTTCTACAGTCTTGATATTAAATGTAGAACCTGGTTCCTGAAGCAGTTAGTCACATTTGCAAACAAAATCCAAAATGATGCTAAAACGACCACCACCACCACCACCACATCACTGCACTGTACACTTTTCTGTTACTTTAGCTGTGAGTTCTCCTTTCAGTTCAGAAGCTTTAGATGTTAGTTCCCCCAAATTCCCAGGAAGTGGGAGGCCTAGAAAGACAAGACGGAGACACCATATGAAACAAAACAATCACCCAATCTCACGCTAGGTTCCAAGGGCCACTGGAGACGTATATAAAGAGGCATTTATAGCCAAGTGAGGTCAACCTCACTCATGATCAGTACCAGCAATATCTGCAGGCCTTGTGATTAAGATTTGTTCACCATAGGTTGCAATGCAATTTTATTCCTGGCCAGTTGTTGTGTGTAGGCCCAATAGTGGAGAGAGGTTAACTGGGAGAACTGAGGGGCTTTAACTACCGATGGCAATGTCGATTGATTAATCAGACGACTTGCAGAGATGCCGTGTACTGCCCTATGACCAGTATCAGGCCTCATGAATGATAATAACGGTTTGTGATCTCGAGTCAAGGATCGTGATCATGAAGGCTGAATTAACAACTTAAACTGTGATTTCACAAATGTAAAAATAGAGGTCGCGAGCATTACATAAAAGAGTGTGAACCAAAATCCAGGTCTCTCAATGTTACATACAGGTTCTTTTTCTCAATCTCTGGCATATGGAACTTTCTAGACAGGTACACTGTAGGTAAGGGGAGTAACAGTTCCCCATTTGCATGCACTATTTTTTGGCTATTGCCATGAAATCATGGTTTGAGAAGTTAGGGTTCGTTCACATGAAAAATCTATTTTCTAAAAATCTATTGGCGGTATCTTGTGATCACGGTCTGTGCCCTGAATACCCCGCGGCATAATTACTGGCAGCACGAGCGAGTTACTTCCAAAGCTGAAATTATGTAAATGGCGGTTGTAGTTGCTTTGAAAAATGTGTTTGTCGATTTTGTGCAACAACAAGCACTACCATTAGCCATAATACAGGTCTGTATGCTTGAGTCGTCACAACTAAACTGATGAACTCCACAGCTTAGAGATCCTACTACGCATGCGTCAAGGTGTCAGAATCTCCTCCGAGCGCAGCCGAGAATTAATTACAGCTTTAGAAGTAACTCGCTCGTGCTGCCAGTAATTACGCTGCGGGGTATTCAGGGCACAGACTGTGATCACAAGATACTGCCAATAGATTTTTAGAAAATAGATTTTTCATGTGAACAAACCCTTAATTAATTTGGCATTCATGACCACAAATTTGAGGCTTGAGATCAGGAACCGCTATTTTGTTCATAAGGCCTAAGTATATACGTGCTGGTTGTAAAGTTCATCTGCCCAACCCTCAATATGTATATTTAACTAGGAGGAAACAACTTACAACCACATTCATGCAAACAGTTTTGTTCTTTAAGTACAGGTTAGGATAATGAGGATAACAAACACAATGTTAACTTTTTAGAAGAGATAACAGTCAATTCTCATAACTGTTAAAATAGGCCACTATCGATGACAATAGGGTATACACTTTGAATATTGCAGTGCTTTCTTTCCTTTCCCTTACCTACCCGCTTGAGGATTTTTGTACAACATTTGACTTACGTAATAAAATTATTTATATCACCCATCTTTCAAATTAAAATTTACTTATTGACGGAGGGTAATTCCCCATTACACTCCTTAGCATTTTGGACATTATTTGTCTGCAGTTCAGCCAATTTTAAACTACTCATATATGACTTCTATGACTTGAAATGTATAAAAAAGATAATTTTTGTAATTTTGGTCAATCTTTCAATAAGTAGTTGCAGGGGCGGATTTAGGCCGTCTTCTGGGTCTTTCGGAAGACGGTCAGATTTTCAAGTTTATACATTGACAGGTATCTATTTTTTCTGTCGGAAGACGGTCAAGAACGGAGGATGGATCAACAAAGACAATTTGGAAGACTGTCAGAAAATATATCTGGATCCGCCCCTGAGTTGTACTTTTCTCACAAAAATACTATATATTTTATAGCACTGTATTTAAAACACAACAATATGATATATCTGATCTAGAATACTGATCAAAATCAAACCAAATTATGCCGATAAGCTGAGGAAAAATTTTTAACATTAAACTTTTTAAACAATTTCTACTTTTAAAAATGCTAAAGGACTTTCCCACAAGTCTTTTTTTTTTTAAATCACACTGCTGGGCCGCTAGGCTGCCACATTTGACATCAGGAATCCCCATTGGAACAGATAGGCCATCGTTGCGTCATTCCTCATTTCTCATTTCATTTGACCAAAGAGTTAGCAGATGTGCATCCTCGATTTGATTAACAGCTGAACATTAAAATCTCACCATTCCACTTTTAGCAGCAGTGGCAGCGAGCTTGACCTTTAATTACGTATAATAACGCAAATTAACTTGCTTGTTTTTCATCAAACAAAATTCAATTCTGAAAGAGCAGATTTAAATAATTTTTTCTCATCTTCATTAGTGCTGTTCTATCCCCAAAGCTTGGTACTACATACATAAGGTTAGCTTGGGTAAACATTAGGTCTAACAGCAACATGACACCAGTATTGATTAATTTTACTTTGCACCTGAGAAATCAAGGGGGCTCAACTAGAATAAGAAGCTTCATGCAGATTAATTGCTTTGAGTGAAAAAAGCATTTCAGCACTTTGAGATATTTCTTTATCAGCAAAACATTGTAGAAATGAACCAAGAACTGAAATATGCCTCTCTTGCATCAACTGATTAAATCATTTTTGTATAAAAAAATAATAATAATAATGGCAAGCACACACAATCAGGAATTGTTATTAACTCCACTCTCACGCCAATCTATTAAGGTGGGAACCAAGAGAAAGTAACAGAAATGTGTACAGTGGATTGAACTCATAGCTACAGGCAGAATGGTGGTGAAAAGATAACAAACCATGCTTCTACTGCAGTTACACTACATAACTAATGTGTGTTGCAAGGACAAAGTTATTTAAATATCAAAACTAAACTAAACTTATAACTACACAAAATGCAATTTATGTAAAACAAAAATACTATATTCAATTGACTTTCACCCCTATAAATAAATAAATAAATAAATAAATAAATAAATGAATAAATAAATAAATAGTAATTTAAGGATATTGTAAACCTTTATTATCATCCAGACACCGAAAATGAGGTTTTTCCTGCATCTAATTATTCAATAATGCATCTATATCTATGTGCTGGCTTAAAACAATGAAAATACCCTCGAAAAAATGAAATATCGGTGTTTATATTTTTTCATTGCAATGTATAGGCAACTCAAACACCTTTCTATTTGGAGGTGAGATAGCAATCAGTATGGGGTGTAACTTCATGCTTGATCAAGACTTTATCACATTGGCAGAGTTCACCAGCAGAGTATAGGCTACAATCCTCCTGGTTTTGGAGTACTAAATAGTGTCATTAAATTGGCGTTGAAATGGTCATCATGGGCACTCTGGTAAAAGATAAATTTGAGAAACGTATTTTTTAATTTTATCTCAAAATCGCAATTATGACATCATCCGTTAGATTATGTGTAAATGTATGTTAATTGAGTCACTAAACACTGAAGATTTATTCATTACCCAAAAGAATGTATGGAAGGCAGTAAAAAAGGAGTTTTGGGTGAAGGGTGACAATATCCTCAAACTGTTTACAGAAGAAGGGCAAAAAGAGCTGAGAAAGATTCAAAGCTTGTAAGACTTGCTTTTGGTGACTATAACTACATTTTCTTTTCAAATCATCAACTGACTACCTTAGAATATTTAATATCCCAGCACTAAGAGTGATAATTAACTAGAGGATCAGAGAGGCGATACCGCCTCCGAATATTGTACCACCAGCTGAAGCAAGCGCATTCGTATAGACCCCCACATACACAAAATAAGGGACACAGCCACCAGTCTTGTGCTTGACAAGCTGTAAACATGCAATCAACAAGAATTTTCAATATATGCAAAAAATATATGAAACTAAAAATGGTACAATCAAA